AACCACTTTACAACATGCGTTTTCACTCACTGTAGCAGCGCTATAGTGCCGCAATAGCAAAAACGCATAAAAAGTAAACTAGAGTATGAAAACTGGCGCATAAAAATTAAAGGAAAACTTTAGAAATGCGGCTGTTTTAATTAGCACTCATAACTTTTAAAATGACTTCATCCAACCTTATGAGATGGTCTGCTTCAGGATGGTGAAGCCCCTAGCTGAATTTGTGGCATCGTTACATAAAAACCGCGTGGATGATCGCAATCTGCAGGGACACTGTCAGACGCTGATAAACGGCGATACCGTCAAAATTCTGGTTGATTTCTATGAAGAGGGACAATATGGACTTGATATTTATACAAGGTAAACAGAGATGAAAGTTTGATTTCTTTGGAAACATGAAGCTCCGGGATTTGCCCCGTCAAATTACTGGATTTTGAAGCGACATACGAAGTCATTAACACTGAGATTGCAGTATGTGACGCAATGATGAAGCAACAAAATTAATGTGGCGATTCGACATCTCCACTTTGTCAGATCTAAAATTGTAATCCATAAAATAACCCTCAGTGTTTCTCGTAAAGGGGCGAGAATAAGTAAATAAGGTGAAATGCGGCGCATTGGGCTTCCTCCTGTCCACCTTTCTGATTGTCTGCTGTGGCTTCGGTGATGCACTGCTTTTCATTCAGCCGCAATACTGAGGTCTTTTGAGATGCTTTTCACACTGTACCTTAGAATGTGTTCACAATATCAAAAAAACTGCGGAATTTTGTCCACGAAAAATTCAGCTCAGATGGCTCTGTTAAATGGAAGCATAACGGGCTGGTGAGTGATGAACTGAAATTTCACATGAATCCATTTCTTGGGCATTGCAGGGAAAGTTCGCCAGCAGCACTGAATGGCGGCAAGCAGCTACTCACCCACTGCTGCAAATATCTCGTCAACGTGCGAATGTGACTCTTTTCGTCAATGTGTTCATTTTCACTACACCAGTTTGTCATAAAATAATCGTGCTGTAAGTAGCTGTCATCTGCTCGC